TGAAATTGGGGCAAACATGAAATTGATCTTTGTTCCCCCTTGCATCATGCTTCACACACAGTTGTCAAGCTATGAACATTTAATTAAATTTATGTTGAGAAAAGTCATTAGATCATAATGAATTAAATTAAACATAGATAATTGCAAACACCACTGCCAAAGAATTAAGCCTGTTACTGTGAGAAATAAATAGAATAATGTTATGGTGTCCACTTAACCCAGAATTGCTTGAATGTTTAATGAAATAGAATGTGTATGTTGTGATAAAAAACTTGAAAGAGACCTGAATATGCAACACAGATATGTTTCTCTCCACCATAAGGCAAGTGGATGAGGGAAAAATAAAGGCCAAAAAACAAAGTATTGGTTGGGTTGGATAACAGTAAAGCTGGAATACACTCTATGGTCTAATACAAGAAGAAAAAGAATGAAGATGAGACATCGGGTTTTAAAAATCTGTCTGAAATAAAAACTTTATTTGTCAGACTAAAAAAAACAAAAACATAAGCAAAAAAACCAAAACAAACAAAAGAATCCGCCTGCCAAAGCAGGGGACATGGGTTTGAGCCCTGGTCTGGAAAGATCCCACATGCCAAGGAGCAGCTAAGCCTGTATGCCACAACTACTGAGCCTGCGCTCTAGAGCCCGTGAACCACAACTGCTGAGGCTGTGTGCCACAACTACTGAAGCCCGTGTGCCTAGAGCCTGTGCTCCGCAAAAAATGAAGCCACCGCAGTGAGAAGCCCGCGCACCGCAACGAAGAGTAGCCCCCGCTCACCGCAACTAGAGAAAGCCCACGCACAGCAATGAAGACCCAACACAGCCAAAAATCAATCAATCAATAAGTAAATAAATTTTTAAAATGCTTTATAAATAAAATAATAATAAAAATTAAAAAAACGAACAGCCAGTGCTCTATCCCAGAAATTTTGATGTCATTGGTGTAGGGTGGGTCCTTGGTATCACTATATTTTAAAACTCGTCTGATTCTAACATGCAGCCATTGTTGAGAACCTGTAGCATTACATCACTGGATGCTTGTTATAAATGTAGACTCTCAAGCCCTACCCCAGACCTACTGAATTAGAAGCTGCACTTCAGTGAGATCCCTAGGCAGTTTGTACATGCAGTAAAATTGGAGAAGCACTGTCTAGACTTACTGAATATCTAGCAGTGGACCCAGGGAATCCCTAGGACTGTAGTTCTCAGTGTGTAATCTTAGGACCATCCCCATCCCCTGGGAGTTTGTTTAAAATGCAAATTCCTGAGCGCCAACCTAGACCGTCTGTATAGGACACTCTGCAGGTGGGGCCCAACAATTCGTGGTTTAACAAGCCCTCCTGGTGTTTCTGATACAGGAAGCGTTGCTCTCGAAGATTCAGCTAGGACTTGGGATTTGGAACCACTGGATTGAGGAAATTGTTGTTACAAGCCCGCTATTAAAATAAATACTCCTGAAATGAAGTAGCATTGATGTTGCAACTTACTTTCAAATGATTTAACAAGTGAAGGAAAAAAAAAAAAAACTACAAGTACGAGTAGGTGTAGAGGGAGAAAGAGAAAGCAAACATAACAAAAGGTGTCATTATCACCCCCCATATCATTCATAAAAATGATAAGACCTAGGTTCAAAAGGGTAACTAGTCCAAGGTAATCAGCCAAAAAGCAAGTGGCAAAACCAGGACTTGAGTCTCCGTGCCCTTTGCATACCACCACAAGTTAGACTTTGATGTTCTTTTTCATGTTAGCTTGCCCGGTTCATCATCCCAGGTACCTAGCAATGTGCCTGTGTTCTGTTCCATAGGCCCAGGAGCAAGCCTGAAAATGTCACTGACTCCCATTGTTTGAGTCACCCTCCCCCCACCCTCTTTCTCTTTGTCCCTTCCTCTCCCTCCTCTCTCCCCCACCCCTCCCCCATTATCATCACTTTTTGTTAGACTTTGGGATCTGGCCATGTTTGTATGTTTTACTTTGGCTTTTAATTAGAACCGGTGTTCTGTGGTTTTAGTTGGGTATATGCAGAAATATACTTGATTTGGGTAGCCCAGACTTATTTGAGTTCTGAGGCCAGTTTATAGCTAGACAAAGTTGCAGATTTTATTGATGACCTGAGATTTGGAATTGATTCCAAAACAATGGAAACAATTAAATATTTAACTTTTTCTTTTTTTTTTGCGGTGCACGGGCCTCTCACTGTTGTGGCCTCTCCCGTTGCGGAGCACAGGCTCTGGATGCGCAGGCTCAGCGGCCATGGCTCACGGGCCCAGCCACTCCATGGCATGTGGGATCTTCCCGGACCGGGGCACGAACCTGTGTCCCCTGCATCGGCAGGTGGACTCTCAACCACTGCGCCACCAGGGAAGCCCAGTATTTAACATTTTTTAATACTCTACCTCATTCCACAAAATACATGTAGTGATTAAAGATTACTGTTAAATAATTCTTTCCTTCTGTAACATTTCTTAAAAATTTTGATCCAAATTAGGTTTGGATGAATTGTTTAGGTTATTGACTTTCTTTTTTTCTTTTGCTAGCAATAATTTATTCCTACATATGATTAAAGCATCATATGTAAGAATTGTCTTGCTTTGGATCGTTGCCCTCTTTGAGGTCTACTTTTAATTTCTTCTGCTTTTAATTGAACTCATGATGGCATTTTTAGATAATGTATAAAAGAGCATCAGGAGACAGAGCCAAAATGGTCTTATTTGCTTTTATACAAACTAAATTGCCCTTGCAGCCCAGCATAAAATCTATGCACTAAGAACACTTATTTATTTTGACAACAGAATTAATCGAGCCTAAAACAGTTGAAATTCCAGTGATAGCAAACTATTCTTTCTGACTCTCACTCTGGCTTTGGTACTTTCAAAAAAAGTAACTTGTCTTATGATTAAATAGCAGAATGATGGGCAGTGTACTGCATTTGGGGGAAATGGTGAATAAACTTTCTACTCGTGAAACAGTTCAGAAGTGACATGCTACAAGGGGGGTCAGAATGTGCATTGATATCCAGCTGAGCTGTCAACTGCCACTGAGCCAGGCACGCAAAGCTTTGCCATGTGAAGCAGCATGTGGAGCGTATGCCATTTGAAAAACAAAATCTTTTTCATGCATGATTTAATGGTTTTTTTAAGAGTATATATTTAGTTTTATTATTCTAGAAACTGTTAGTGTTTCTGTTTTTAATAGAAAAGCTTATGTGTGGATGGAACTCAGTTAAAATGTTGTAATATATATTTTACAATTTGAAAGGATTTGGCATCTTATATTTCAAAAATGTCATTTTGAATAGCTTATTTTTATTGGATATTTTTCTATTTCAAATGGATTTTAAGAGGATGTTTTTAAAAGATAAAGAGAACAGTGATCAAGATATCTGGTATAGGAGAGATGTTTTGTGAGGAAAAAATGTAGAATTTTGTTTGAAGGGACTGATGTTTATAGAGTTAATGGATGCCTTTACTGTTTTCATATATATGATGACATCCAAAGATCTTAATATATACTATATATTTTTTTGATGGGTGGTTATATTCTCTCAAGCTTTGTTAGTAAGTGATAAAACTAATAACACATAATAAGCTGTTGGTAATTTAAGTAGAAATTTTTCATTCTTAATAATTCTTACACCAAGCAAAAAGTTGCTGTTTATCAGATGCACATACTACTAAAATTCTTTACCTTTATTGATCTTTCAGTGTGCATCTCTTTGTAAACTGTTAATGTAGGCCTTTAAAGGATTCTAAGAACAAGCTCATTACCCTTTCATTTAATGAATTCTTAGCTTGCAGATTTACAGAGTGGACTTGAAGTCCTTGAAATTTTAATTGGGCTGTTTTCTGACTCTAAGAATTTTTTGAATGGAAGTAGTGAGTGTTTTGGGGTTTTTTTAGTCATATGATATATGTCATAAGAATGCCTCAGTAGGGAAGGTATTGCCAGTTAATGGATTAAGACCTTGTTTATCAACTCACATTTATGACTGTTTTATTCTGTTTATCACTAAATGTTAATCTACTCTTTTTGAATAAAAACTGGAACTGAGGAAGTAAATCTTTGATTTGGGGGTAAGAAGCAGGACGTTATAGCCAATACTTTAAATGCTCCTACTTAATAGAGAAATTTTTCTTGTTCATTAGTGGTTTTCTTTCATAATGGAATGATCAGTGAGAACTCTGATCATGAATTTGCACATAGTTATAGCTAAGCTTAACATCTCAGAAGGACCAGTAGTGAAATCCTTTATTATCCACTGTTTGGGTGTTTTTTTTTTTAATAAATTTATTTATTTATTATTTTTGGCTGCGTTGGGTCTTCGTTGCTGTGCGCGGATTTTCTCTAGTTGTGGCGAGCGGGGGCTACTCTTCGTTGCGGTGCTAGGGCTTCTCATTGCGGTGGCTTCTCTTGCTGCAGAGCACAGGCCCTAGGCATGCGGGCTCTAGAGCAAAGGCTCAGTAGTTGTGGCGCACGGGCTTAGTTGCTCTGCAGCATGTGGGATCTTCCCGGACCAGGGCTCAAACCCGTGTCCCCTGCATTGGCAGGCGGATTCTTAACCACTGCACCACCAGGGAAGTCCCTATTATCCACTCATTACTTCAGCCTCTATTTTTAATTTTCTTGATGTAGCAGGTTGTACCAGTTACCATTTAATAAGGCAGGGCTAAAGTGACCATTTAGTGGAACATAAATTTTTAGTCTGATATTTATTGAAAACAGAAACTACATGTTAAATCTCTGTGTCTCCAGTTCTGTGGTATCATATATAAAGGGTTGTCAGTAAATTGTGTTCATGATATAGGCTAGTCTCAGTTTTTTTCAGTGTTAGGCTTATTTGATTTTTAAATTATTGCTGATATTTTAATTAACACTATCAGGTAACACTGGAACACGTTTCAGAACAATTAAAAAGATGTAATGGGATCTGATGTGATTGTTTTCTACCAGCTTTTTTTTTTTTTTTTTTTAACCCAGTACTTGTTCATGTTTTTTCTTTTTAGGCCTTATTGAATTTGAAGAATGTGACCCTGCTAGCGCAGTTGAAGGTAAATTGACTAGTTGTAATGTGTGGCAGCTAGCTAATAGCTTCTGTTTACTGAATAGAGGGGCTGCTATCCATCGGTGTTAGCATGTCTATGGAGTGATGTAAAAAATGTGAATGTGGTTTGAAGGCCTGCAGATATTAATGTTTACTTAATAAAAATAGGTTTGCCCAAAGGAATATTAGTGTGTTAGAATATAGATTTTTTAAAAGATTAAATATAACATTTGTTTTCAGATATGCATTGAGATTGTTTTCTCCACTGATATCCATCTTTAAACATTCTCATGTCATAAATATGAAACTCATCACTACATATTGATGTATACTGCTTATTCTACAATGGGTAACATTTCGGTAATTAATAAGGTTATGTATTAATGCTTATGTTACTGTCATTCAAAATAGGCGATGATTTGACTTGGAGAAAGGATCCACAACCCTTCCTATTTAAATTGATGTTTTTCATAGTATGAAACCCAAGAGATGTCTGCAATTTTTGTTATGTTTTATAATGTTACTTTGTGAGCTACTAGAAATAATTTGAAAGCAGTCTTCTATTTTTTTTCCAAGACCTGTGTGAGAATATGGAGAAATGGTTTGCTGTTGTGTGTAAGGTTATTAACTGAGCAGTCAACGAGCTCTGGGGTCTAGACTTTTTATAGTTACCATCTGTTTGACTAAGAGCAGTACTTATTTAAGTTCTCTGTACTTAAACTTTAAAAGTTCTTCAGAAGTTTAAAAGAATTTTAAAAGTTCTTTAAAAATGTTTATAATAAATAATACCTACTCTGTGAGAATAAAAATGTATTTATTTTTAAAATATTATAACATGCTTTGCAAATAAATGGTTCAGGGAGTTAGTTTTGCATGAAAGCAAGTACATTATTCTAAGACACCTGGATTATAATCCTGGCTGTAGTGTTAGCTAGTTGTATAACACTGAGTTAAAAAAAATAATACTCTGAGTTTCCTCATCTATAAGGTGAGAGGTTAGCTTAGGTGTACTCTAGTTCTCAAAGAGTTAAGTAGCTAAGCTTTAAGTGCTGAATTCTGTTAACGATTTTAACGTTTAAAAAATAATTTGTCATGCAAGAAGAGGAAGAACTGCCATATTTGGCAAAATAGAGATGGTATTTGTTCCTCATTTATGGTTGGATCCATTTATAACGTTATTTGTATTAGAGATAACATATGGACAAAAGAATGCCGTATTATAAGTTTCCCATGTCGTACTGTTAATGGATCTGCTGTCAACTTTTCATTTAAAACAACACATTTATATTTTGTGACCCTTTATACCGGGAACATGATTTGCCCTGCATTTATAACAAAATCTAATATAGTGAATAATGTACTTTCTTTGAAGTCTTAAGATATCTGCAAATGCTTATTTTGCCTGAGGTGATTTAGGGGAAGAGAGAATTTCACTGATCAAATCAATGTTCTATGTATAACCTTTTGGTGAATAAAAGGCTATATTATATCAACATAAGAAAAATTTAAACAGACTATGACTTATTTAAATATTAGGGTTTAGCAGTTGATACTTTGATTTCTTTCATCCAAATTTAGTATCAACAGTTATGAGCAAATTGTGTGTCAAGATACAAGATGCATTCATAAGTTTAATATATTTATCAGGAACAATTATGTTTCTGTAACAATGTACATTTATTTTAAGGTATAAGACCAAGGAAAAGAAAGACTTTTGGTTTACCAGGAATAATTAAAAAGGAAAAGGATGCAGAGTCTGTGTAAGTATATTAAATATTGTCAAAATCCTTTCTATGGTTATAAATAATTAAGAATAAGACTATTGTTATGAATTTGAAAAGAAAAAATTCTTTTGGAAATAACCCAAAGTACATATGGCTAAGATGTGAAAAATACAAACTTTTCTAAGAACATTTGCCAGCTCCTCTAGTTTTAGTTAAAAGTGTTAACTTTTCTTATTATTTTAAAATTTCAAGATGAACGCTTTAGCGTTTTGAAATTGAAACTTTAAAGATACTCTTATTTTATAAAGTGATAACATGCATATTTTTAAAAATCAAGCAAAAGTACAGAGAGAACTAAAAATTGTTCTAAGTCTTAATAACCTAAGAAAAACACCGTGGTCAGCAATTTGATGAAAATCTTTCAAGACAACTCTAACCATATAGTAAATTAGTGATATATGTGTACATAAATGGAAAATGTTAAATGGGGGAGAAAAAAGTCCTAACATTTTAAACATTTATACTAATTCGTCATTTTTAGATGGAAGATGGAGTATAAATGTCATTTACCTTTTTAAAAAAGTAAATTGGTCTACAAAGAAATATAATTAGCATATAAGAAATTAAACTAGTATTAGCTAAGTCAAGTTTTCTGCCTTGGCTATACATTAGAACTACCTGAGAAATTAAATATATCTATGCCAGGTCCTGCTTCAGACCCATTAAATCAGATTCTTGGGGCGGGAGGCCCCAGCATAGTTTTTGTTTTGTTCTAAGCAGCCTGTGTGATTCTTAATATACACCTGGGGTTGAGAATCATTGAACTCTGATTAACTGGAGACAAATTGGAAATAAAGGAACTTTTCTTTGCTTAATTATTCAACCCATTTAGAATGAAGAGACACTAATCAAAAGTCTTGAGTGATTTGTTGACCCAGTAACATTGACTGAAAATTTGTTTCAAGTCCCTACTTCTCTAGCATAATCAGCAGAACTCTCATGAGGTTTAATATTTTGATGGCCATTCATATTTTCAATATAAGGGAACAATTTGTGCTTTGGGTGGTCTTGCCTCCTCCCTGGTTATACGCTTATCATCTGAGTTTCTTGGAGTTTCTGCCATTCTGAATGTCTGTTTCTTTCCTCCTCCCTAGTTGTATTGATACTTGGTTTAAAAAATTAAGACTATTTGCAAAGTGATTTATGCCTATAGCTACTGTCTCTTCTGCAGATGTCTTTTTTGAGCATTGTGAAGGGGGTATTTTGCTAAGGGAATGGAACCTAATAGCTCTTCTATAACACATTGGAAATTGAAGTCTGAACAATTGATTTGTAAGTAAATTTTTTAAATGTAGCCAGTTTATCTGTTAGTGGCTACATTATAAAGAGTTAAGATGTTTTTATAATTGATGGTTTTCACAGCTGTTCATTTAGGGAGCTTATAATATTTTTGTATATTCCATGTTTTTAAAATAGTTTTTCATGATCAGTAATTTCCCAGTATGATCATTAGGGCACTTGGATATTGGAATATTTTAACCAATAAGAATACTAGGTCAGAAAACTAATGCCTCAATCACTGCATCATTATTGCCTTCTTTCAACACTCCCTGGCAGGAAAAATGTTAGAATTCACTTTGCTTGAAATGTCCGAGGCTCTTGGCATGCTTCTTCTCATAGCCTGAAGGTTTTTGAAATGCCAGCAATTGTGAACAAGGGGTCCTGCTCAGAGCTTGGTCTTCCTGGGGCTTCATCTGCAGGTCTCATACTGCGCACTGTGAAGGCAAACAGATGAGTGCTTTACCACAAAGACTGGAGAGTTCTGGCTTCAGGCCAGAGAATAAATGGTTTGGAACTCTTATACTTACTTTTATATTTAAACTTTATCTTTTAAAAAAAGAAGAAAGAAATGTTCAAACATCTTAATTGATTTGATTCTGTACAGGGATTGAATATTATTACAGTAGCTTTTCTGGATCATTTCCTCAGAGTATGCATAGGTTTTTTGATATAATATTCCTTATAAGGAAGCTCTTTTTCAAAATTTGCAATTTTAAGTAGCTATAAAGACACGTGGGGTTTGCTTTTACCCTGGTACTCCCATTTGAATTAAGGGCAGAATAGTCATCTCCCTCTTCTTTCATTTTTTCAGTCTGTTCCATCCTATGTTTAATTAAGTTCTTTAATTTATAGATTTCCCTATATCTGGATTGATACAGATTACCTGTATCTGGATTGATACAGATTACCTGTTTATCTTATATAATTTAGTATTTTTTATTTTGTTCATTTGGCTCTTAAGGTGTGCCTAATATGTGTGTTTTCAGGCTGTTATTAAAGTGGCAGAATTTGATACTATATGTAATAACTGTCTCAAGCCAAAGAGTATACCTAATCCAATGCCTTTTAAATATGCTAATTTTTGTTTGCGAACTTCTTTTAGAATGTATACATATATATTCTTCTACGCTTGTTCCTCATGGCCTCAATGCCTTTAATTTTATATATCTAGTGCTTTATTTGGTTAGTTGAGAAGGTTGGTCTTTATGTTTTAGTTTTACATTTAAAATAATAGTTTTCAATAGATTATGTCCAAATTTGTATTTGCTTATCAGTTAAATGATAAAATATCAGTGCTCAACTGCACATTACATTAGACTAGAAACTGTTCCAGCTGGAAGTCTAGCTACTCACTAACATATTTGGAAAAAAAAGTGGTTTCACTTCTATATATACTAGCTTATGGAAAGTACCTCAAAGGAAATACGTTAAATTTTTTTTTTAACTGTCTCTACCTGAAGGATTAAAAGCCACTAGAAATCGTAGGACTGACAGCTTCCTTGACATGACACGTGTATATTCATGGAAGAGAACTATTTTTGAAAGTAGTTTTACAAATATTTATAAGCTGTTTGTTTTATTTTGTCTTGCAGTATCAGTATAGGGGAATGTCTTTGAATTTTAAAAGCATTTGGTATATTTTAATATTCATGATTTGATTTCTCTAAATATTTTTATAGAGTTTAAATGAAAGTTATGTTTAAATACCAAGGCAAACACTTTTGATATAGTATATTTACCAGATAGTTCTAATATTTGAATATGTCTGATATTTTGTTTGTTTTAATAGGGAATGCCCCGATGCAGATTCACTTGTAAGTAGATTTTACTTTGGTGTAAACAGTTTAGCTATTTTCATTAGGAAATACCCAGCATATTTGGGGTTGAGTTTGTTTACAAATCTTTCCAAGAAAAATACTAACCATGTTATTAGAAATTCCCTATTAAAATTATTTTACAAATGTATTTTTGGCTTTACATTGCCAGATGATTTCCTATTAAGTAGAAGGTATTTCTAACTACTTTTGAAAAGTGGACATTTTACTTTTAAAATTGGAGTGGAGCCATAGCATATTGCTTTTTCTTGGGAAATATGTCAGATTTCAAACCTGCCAACTTTATTTTAAAATGTGCTCTTACTAATTGATTCTTAGATCTATTAAAATACTACTATAACTGTTCATGTGTTTAAGGTTTGTTTAGGGGACTGTCATTTTAGAAAAAGTAGCAACAACCATGGTTAGTACTTTTCTGTGCTTTTTATTTTGTTCTGTTTTAAAGAAAGTTTGTTTATATTTCTTGTTTAAATATATTTCTTCATATATAATTAAAGAAGACATCAAATGGAGCTCCCTGTGGTTACAGTGAGAGAGTAGATTTACCAAATGATGGAAGTAGTGTGTAGACAGATATGTTTTACAGATTGGTCATTAAACACTGATCATGTTGGTAAGTGTCGTAGAGAGTCAGGCTGTCTCTTTTATTGTTCTTGCTTGTGTAACTATTGTTTCTTTTGGCTCCAAAACATTATGGTCTTTTACAGCATATTTATTGGTGTACCAAAATAAAGAACTACATATTTTGTAAAACATTATGTTTTATGTTAATTAAGATAAAACTAGTATTTTTTTTCATATTTCTGCTTTAAAGTAAGAAAATTACTATTCATTAATAAATTTATAGTGAAAATAAGGAAATAGACTTCTGATGAGTTCTAGGCTTAAAATCATCAGTGTTTTTGGAGTTGTAACGTTTACCTTACCACGTGCATGTTTTGATACCCTCAGTTTACTAATTAATGAAAAAGTCAGCAGATGTGTTTGGGATTTACTTTAGTGTTTATCATGCATTTTATTTCTGAATTATTTATAGCATTTATTTGATTGCAACATTGAATAAAAATTTTAATACTTCATGTTTTATATGCACTCCTTTAAATAAAATATTTTAAATTTTCTCAGTTAATTGATACTGTTCTATAATGATCGATATTAAACAATTTTGAACTTCAGCCAGTATTTATCTGGAATTAGAAAAGGACTTTTAAAGAGGACACGAAATTCTACTGCTGTATAAGAAATGATTGATAAATTTGACTGTATAGAAATGAAAAACTTACAGAATTAGAAAAAATACACCATAGAAGGAGTTGAATCACTAAAGATAGTTGGGCAGAGTGTATTTGCAAGATGTTTAACAAGGGGCTAATTATTTTCCTTTGTAAAGTTTTGATACAGATTAGTTTAAAAGGTAAGCAAGCATCCCAGTAGGAAAAGGGCATTAGGATAAAAACAGGCAATTTTCATAAGAAGAAATAAAAGGTTGTAGTGAATAATCAAAAATGTTGTTCAAAATAGTAGCCTAATTCTGATGCAGATTAGAATGAAATTACTATATTCACCTATCATATTGGCAAAAGTTTTGATACACTCATACTGTTGGTAGGAATGTAAATTGGTATAATCTGTCTTGTGGATAGTTGGCAGTATCTCCCAAATAAATGTATATTCTTTTTGACTCTGCAATCCTACTGCTAGGGCTTTACTGTTACTGCTATATTCACAAACTTTATGTGTGTGTGTGTGTGTGTGTGTGTGTGTGTGTGTGTGTGTGTGTGTGTGTATGCTTGACCAAGATATATGCTTATATAGAGGGGGAGGGAGAAAAGGTGGATAGGGATAGATGTTCATTTCAACATTGTCTATGTTAGCAAAAAATTGGAAACACTAAAGCACCCATTAAAATGGGGATTGGTTAAATTATTACACATTCACTTGATGAAGAAATAGTTGTTATAGATCTAGGTTGCTCGTGTCTGTTGAAATGGGAAGAACTTACTAAATAAAAGCAAGTGTGATCTTTTAAGTAATTGTTTTTTAAAATAAATAAATGTGTGTCTATTATATGTATTCTCTTTTTTTAAAAGGATGAGTTACAAGACACTGAATTGTGGTTACCTTTGAGGAGAAGGATTACAGTGGGGTCAGCAGGGAAAGGAGGCTTTCATTTTTTGTTGTTTCCTTTTTATGGCCTGTTTATGGCTAGTCTTACTATTACTTAAACATCAACAGGCTACTTTGGTAGGGAAATTATCCATCATTTTCTGTTCCTTTTTTAAAAAGTCTATGTATGTAATTAAAAAAATTTATTTTGAGTGACTACATCTTTTGAAAGTTGACCAAGGAAGTATAAATCGCTCTCTTAGTTTTAACCAATTTCCTCTCTCCAAACTGAGATTGAGAAACATACCATTGATTTGCAAGCTCTATCCCAGTATTTTGTTAAAGTTACTACCACCACTATCCACCAAAACTGCCTTTAAGATTGTTGGCTGAAGTTACATGCTCTTTTCTTCTTCTTGTACTGCTTTTGACTTAATGCTTTGCTCCAGCAGTATGGGGCCCTAATATAGAAACCATGGATTGAATGGACAAAGATGTAAACAGGTAATGTGTAAGTTTTTATTAATATCATGAATAGTTCTAGCGTTGAAAACCTGGTACAGTGAGAATCATTGCTTTTTTTTTTTTTTAAACACACACCCAAAAAGCGTTTTATTTTGAAATAATTGTCAATTTACAGGACATTACAGAGATAGTACAGAGCAGTCCCGTATACCTTTCATTTCGTTTCTCTTGATGGTAACATCTTGCAAAACTTTAGTACAGTATCGTAACTAGGATATTGATACTCATACAGTCAAAATAGAACATTTCCATTAACCAAGGATCTTTTTTTTTTTTTTCCTTTCACCTATTTAACCCTCACCCAGTGCTCAAATCCCTGGAAGTCACTGATCTGTTTATCACTTCTATATTTTTGCCCTTTCCAGAATGTGGTATAAATGGGATCATACAGGATATAGCCTTTTCAGACTGGATTCCTTTACCAGGAATATTAAATATGCATTTAAGATTTATTCATATTGTTGCATGACTTGATTGTTCATTCCTTTTTTATCACTGAAGAGTATCCCATTGTATAGATGTATCATAGTTTACTTATCCATTCACTTATTGAAGGATGTTTTGGCTGTTTCTTCTTTTAGGTGATTATGAATAAAGCAGCTCAATAACATTTGTGTGCAGGTTTTTGTGCGAAAATAAGTTTTCAGATCAACTGGGTAAATACCTAGGACTGTGATTGCTGGAAGGATCTTTCATTTTGATTGCTCCTTTTCAGTCACTTTTGTTCTGTCCCCCCCCCTCCACACACACACACACACACACACACACACACACACACCTCTGGCAACCACTAATCTTTTCTCGATTTCTATATATTTGTCATTTCAGGAATGTTATTTAAGTGGAATCATACTTTATGTAACCTTTTGAGATTGGCTTTTTTCGCTCAGCACCCTTTTCTAGAGATTATTCCAGGTTGTTGCATACATGAATAGTTCATTCCTTTTTACTGCTGAATAGTATTCCATGATGTAGGTATACCAAAATTTGTTCACCTATTGTGGGACATTTAGTTGTTTCCAATTTTTAGCTGTTAGAAATAAGTTACTTGGAACAGTTGTGTACAGGTTTTTGTGTGGGCATAAGGTCACTCTCGACACTGGTCACTTTCTTTCTGAAGTCTGTTTTATCTAATAGTAAGGTAGTCACTGTCTTTTTTATTTTTTAAATTAATGTTTGCATGGTATATTTTTTCTATCATTTTCCTTTCAACCTACCTATGTTGTTATGTTTGAAATGAGTTTCTCATGGGTAGCATATGGCTGGGTCATGTTTTTTTAATTCATTCTGCCAATCTGTCTTTTGTTATACATAGACCATTTATATTTAATGTAATTATTGACATGTTGGGGTTTGTCTGCCATTTAATTTTTTGTTCTCTATTTGTTCC